ACTCTCTGATTTTCAATATTATTCTGATCACATGAACTTTCAATTAAGGTTTTAATCTGACTTTCGGGCTATTTTACTCATAAGGTAGATTCTACCAAAGGAGGTGGTTTCCCACAGCCACACCTTATCCGGATTTTTTCGCAGAGGTGATTCCATATTAGGTAAGGCCAATCCTTTCCACAAATGTTACGACATTCTCCACATTTCTCACTATAGTGGTGCCTACGCTCTGCCATACCGGTTTCCTTCCGGGAATTCCTTAAACCAAAGATGTACCTTCACTTGGACTTCCACAGGGCTTCGCATGTGATAATAGGCTCCTTTTTAGGTTACAGAATATTTTACCTCCAGCCAAACTCGAACCGTTGACCTTGTCTGTAGGAGGACGGGAGCTTATCCATTAAGCTATAGAACCCGAACTCCTAGCCCAAGAGTGATTTACTTAGTAAGAAAAAATGTTTAGAAGAAATCTCTCTACATTTGGCTTAATAGTAAAATTTATTTATAAAATTTACAGATCCTCTCCAGATAATAGATAAATTGTCTATTAAATATATTAAAATTTAAAAAAAAATAGATTATAACCATATTTATAGTAATTTTCTAGACAAATTTGCTTAGAAAAGCATACAGTTTAAGAGATATATTGTTAATCTACAAAAAAGAGATATTTTTTTGGTGCTACATTAAAAATAGGGCCTTTTTTAGGGCTCTATTTTCTTATTTATTTGTTAGTAAACCATTTTTTGAAGATATCTCACAATCTACTAGGCCAATTTTGATAATTTAACTATCATTAGAATTGTCTCAATGAGCTCTACAACTTTAATTAAAGACTCAAAAATAATTAACTTAATACAAAAAAGTTTAGAACCTAATATATTTAATAAGTTCCAGACAAACAATGCTCTGCATTTATCTAGTATATCTTATTAGTACTATTTGTTATATCTATAGTATAGATACTAGATATAGATATTATATTTTTAAAAAATTATAAAATATAAAAATATCATATATGAATCATAAGTTCAATATCGAGTCTTCATACACTTTCAAATATACTTTAAATCTTCATATATAGTCTAATCTCCATATAGTCACCTCCTATATAATCACAAAATTATTATAATCACTATTATAAATTTATCAATTATTATAATCACTATTATAAATTTATCAATTATTTTAATAATATTTTTACTTCTATATAGTCACAATTATATTATAGTCACTATCATATTTTTTTTTTAACCATAATATAGAAATTGTTCTCCATAAAGTCATATATCATGTGATTTTTAAATCAGCCAATAAAAATTGTCAGATAAGACCAATCATAATCAAGAATACGATTTTTATAAAACTCTTTCCTGATTATATACAAAACAGAAATTTTGTTTTAACTAATAGTAGTGTGTATATATATATCCAACGATTTAGAATATTTTTATCACAAATCAACAGTTTTTTGATTAACCAAATTTATATTATAGGTCATAGTTTAGAGCAGAATATTTCTTATACAAGGTAGGCCAAATTTATATTTTATATATCAGATTACTTTCAAAAATAGTAATACAAGTTAAATATGTTAAACTATTATTAGTGCTATACCTAAGATTAGAAGAGTAATAATTACAGATTTTAATAGCATAATTAGCAGGATAAGAGATTTGGCTTTAATGATAATTAGTTATTAATAAGAGTAGTTAGCTGGCAAAGAAATATATTATTATTTATTATATAATGAGTAAAAATATATTCTCTTTATTAAATATTGCATTTATACATTTTAGCTTTGGGGTGTTCTGAACTCTCGCTAGCAGCTATCTATCCTTATCTGAGGGCTATTCACTCTTGATAAAAGTCTCCTTACTCTTACTGAGAGTTAAAGCCTTGATTATATATGCCCAAGTCTTGATCAAACTATAATACTAAATAAAGGAGTCTGTTAAAGCAAGATATATTTACATATTGATCTACATACAGTATAAATTGTGTTCTTGATATTTTTATAAAATTATAATCTAACTTTATTAAAAAAGCTTACCCTAACTACACCTTGCTTTAGCCATCCCCCAAATAGAAAAATTTTATCATAATACTAGTTTGTCAGAAAAATATATCATTGGTAAAATATTGTCTCCATACATTTTAGAATTCTACAGTCTTTTATAGCTTCGTTTAGACTCACTTATAAATCAAAGCTTATCAATTTTACAATAAATTCTAGACATACCAATTGTGAAATTTTAAATTTGTATTAAGATTGAAAAGTATGCTATATAACCTATAATCACACGATTTAATTCAAGTTTACAGCTTATTTTAAATAGATTTGTGATTATTAATTTAGTAATCAAGCTTGTTTTTATAGCATTTGAACTATTTATTCTAGGCTGATAGTAGTGGCTTTATTTCTTAGAAAAAAAATAAAAAAAAACATTTAAAAAATTTACAATTCGAATTTTCAAAGAATTATAAAAGCAAAATGTTATATGGCTGTGCCCTTAATTGTGATAATGCGAAGACTTATAAAAAATGGCTAGTTTTAATTTTTTTTGTGTTTTTTTTTGATCTAAATCAAAAAAAATTTACCAAAATTCAAAAAATAATATCTTTGAGGCAACCCTTTACTATTCTGACAATTGAAATCCTATAAAGAACTCCTGTTGTTTCTTCTAAATGACTCCTAGCAAATTATATAATAAATTTATTGATCATGAATATAAAATCTATGAAATTATAGAAAAAAATAGAATAACATTAATAGAATAGGCTCATACCTCTAAAAACAGATAGTAGCAACTTTATAATTACTAGGCTTTCTTTAGTATCTGATATCTCTTGAATCATTATAATTAAAAAAAAGATAAAATTGAACTTTGTGTTTTATTTTTATTTTTTTTGTAATTCCATTCTCTAAGATTTTTTCTTAACATTTTTAGTCCATTTTCATCAAATCCTTGTTCGACTTCAAGGCTCTCCTGATATCTTATAACTTTTTTAAGTACCTCTACAGCTTCTGTAACAGTTACTAGCAGCAGGGTAGTAGTTCATTATCATCATCACTAACTTCACTATTATCTTCGAAGTTATGCTTTACTATTTTAATTATACCCTCATCTGTGAGTATGTCCTCAGTTATAATAGATTAGTCAATTAATTTACTGTATTCTTCAATATCCCATATTAATTATTGAACCTTTGAGCTATCATCAACTGAAAATCATCAATTTACATATCAATATCATCAACTTTAGGGATATCAGGTTTGATTGCTTCTAACTTACTTTTATCTAACTCACTTCTACCTAACTCATTTTTACCTAACATATTTTTATCTAATTTACTTTCACCTAACTTAGTTCCATCTAACTTACTTTCATTTGGCTCAATTATTTATGGTAGTAGCACTAATATCTTCCCAAGCTTCATCAAAAAATCGATGGCTTGTCTTAAAGAAAGTTTTCTGAAAATGATATATAGTAAGTTAAAAATAATAGCATTAAAAAAAAAAAGTAAAAAAAAAAATTTACTCATTATCCTTTTCATTGTTGTCAAATTGCTCAAGCAAATAATGACAATATAGTTTTTATATTTGGACTTAAAACTATTTATAATTCCTGCATCCAAAGGTTGGAGGTGAGCAGTCATATTTGGAGGGAGAAAGTGTACAGTGGTATTTGTAAGGTGATAGCATTTTATTTGGGATCTTTCTTGAAATCTTTCTTGCTGCCTTCTATGTGGTCTTTCCTGTGGTCTTTCTATGGTCTTTCCTGTAGTATTCTCTGTGGTCTTATCTGTGGTCTTCTCTGCAAACTTTTTTGTTCATTATCAGAGGCATTTTCAGATAAAGATTTATCAGTAATATTATTCATATTGCTTGTTCCAGGAGTAATATGAGAAGCAGCATTATCAATGAGAAACAATACCTGCCTATTTTGAATTTGGAATTCTTTATTAATAAACTTTACCATTTTTTCTAAATATCATTTCTTATCCATGCCTTTTTATTGTCTCTATATATTACTGGCAATTGTGATCTATTTATTCCATTAAAGGATCATAGTTTTTTAGAGGAACTAATAACCAAGGGGTATAGCTTGTAAGAACTGGTTGAATTGGTGCAAAACAGAATTGTAACTCTTGATTTATCCTAAAGAAACAATTTAGTTAACTATAAATTTTTAAGATGATTTTAATATTTACCAGAGGTATAATTCACCGGGCATGCTATTTCTCAAAATAGCTTGAATAATTTGTATTTGATATACAGTTTATATTCATTTAATGTAGTGGCCGGGCTGAAAAAGTTGTCTGTTATAATGAATATCCCTATAGCATTATATAATATAATAATAAAACTTTTAAATTGTTTCAGAAAATTGCTTCGCTATAACAAGGTATCCACTATAACAGGATCCAACAAGAGTAAACTGTATTAAGTGAAAATGATTAGCTTTTTAAAATAATCTAATCTCTACTTTAATTAAACCTTAAACCTCTAATTCTAAAATTTAATTTTAATTTAAAGTTTGAGGTAAATTTTTTATAGATTCTAAAATTTAATTTTAATTTAAAATTTGAGGCAAAATTTTCTATAGATCAAATACTAATTAAAAATATATTGTAATGAATTTTACCTCTAGTAAATACTAAATAAATTTAAATTTTTATTAACTTTTTTTTCTAGCCATTGTTTTATTAGAAAGTGTTTGATTTGAAAACAGTCTATAGAACAAACCAGTCTCATCAGCATTGTAGATGTCTTCTAGATCATAGTGGGAGAGAATTCTTTGTTATTTGATACATTCTGCTAGTAAAGTTTCTAAAGGTGCACTTGATGCTTTGCTATATATTGTAACTCTTCTTAACCGATTACACCTTTTGAATTTGGTAATCCACCTATTAGAAAATGAAAATGAATCTTTTGAAATAGAAAGTGCTTCTGCAAACTGATGGCCCTTTCTTTTACTAATGAATCTGATATGATTAGTCTATTTGCTGTGACCCATTCTACCCACATATTCATAGCATGTTCTAATATTAGATATTTCACAGAATGATAGCGAAAGGTTTTTTCACTTTGCTCACTATCTTTGAGTTTTTATACTCATTAGCTTTTTTCAAGATTTTGACAGGAACAATCAATCTTTAAATCAGGTAAAGCTTCATGAACTCATTTGCTATATCATGATGTTTAAGATTCTGATTCTTTTCTGCAAATTCACATATCTTTTTTTGTCTATTACTAAGACAGCAATGTGTTTGTTTAGATGCGAGTTGAAATGGCATTGCACTGAATTGAATTTTTTGAAGGGCTAATTTTTTTTTTCTTAAATACATTTTGGGTTAGAATTTTTAATTATCTTTTTAGACTGGTTTTTTTTTTCTCAAAGTCATACAATACCTTGCATACTAAAATAGAAACTTATTTAATAGAGCAGATATACTTTTTTTTAATTGAGTTTCAGAGTATTTAATTAATTTATCAAGAAAGGCTTGAGTTCAATTTCGTTAAAACATCAAATATGTATCATAATTTATTGTTTGAAATTTTATCCACATATTCAAAAATTAGAGTTCATTCAAACATGGTTAAATATAAATTTTTTTATAT